TGTTGTGGCACCAATCATAATGTGCCACATCATGTTGTGGCACCATAATATGGTGCCATATGTGGTGCCATAGAATTATGTAATACCAAACCTAACTCCAGAGCAAAAATCATATAAAAACGTCACAAAACATAGATTTTCGCCATGTCAGCATCTGAAGCGTGAGAATCTACTACTTAGGCTCAACACATTTTGAATTAATATATAGGGGAGGATGTCGGAAACTAAAACAATGAATTGGACCGATTTGAAATGATCCGGTTTGATTAATGATTCAAGTGTTATGGCTTTTTAGTTGGGTTATTTTCTCTTCCTTTTAGTGTTATATTTTATTTTATTTTTTATGGATCCATCTAAAAGCCAAAAATAGAATAAATATAATTATAAATGAGAGAGTTTTGTGCATAGAGGATTTGTTTTCATTTATTGAATGTATAAAGAAATTGAGTGTAGAAATTAGAAAGTTAAGTGTATAAAGAAGTCATTCTTTCTATATTTGTAGATTTATTTGGTTTTTATTCATTAGATGAATATATAAATATAAAAATATAATTACAATGCAATCGATGTTGAAATATTATAAGAAAATAAAATTAAAAATTTATGTAATTTTACATAATATTTGCTTTAGATTTATATAATTTTATAATTGTGATTACAAAATTATCATTCTGAAAATTGAATGTAAAACACGAATGTTATTTTTAAATTATATTGAACCAATTATCTCTGTTTATATATATATATATATATTTTTTTTTTCTTTATCATTTTACAATAATCATATAAATTAATATATATTTTATAAAGATAATTTATTATACATCCGGATGGTACACTTTTATTTTAGTTTGTCTTTGTGATCGAGCATCAACACTGATTTTGAGAAGAGAGTAAGTAGGCTAAAGTGGATCGGATCGGCCCATTACAAAAAGCAGGCCCAATTAAGAGAACTAAGCTCAATTAAAAGATTCAGTTCATCATGCATAGGGGTGGGCGCGGTCCAGGATGGTCCGGGATTTGACCTATCCCGGTACTTGTCCCGGTTTTTTGAACTGGTCCAGGACGATACCCCGTCCCAAATGGATTGGATCGATATCAATCGGGACCGGAACAAAACAGTTCGGGACCGGGACAAAATGGAAAAAAAACTGTTCAAACTTCAAACAAATTATTCACTTTTAAAAAAACTTTGATTCAAAGCATTCTGCATTAAAAAAAAAAAGGCACTGATAGTAAATTAAACATTGAACATTGTTTTGAACATTGCGATATGGAGATGGAGAAGAAAATGAACGGGAATTGGGAAATGATAGTATTGTTGTTTGCTTGTGGCGTAAGTAAATATTAAATGGGCCAACTGCATTGGGCTTTCAATTATAAAAATCATAGCATGTTAAGATTGAATATTTGAATTAAAAAACAGAAACCTAAATCCAAGCATGTACTGTTAATACTAACATAAATATAAAATGTAATATATATATATATATATATAATATTTTTGTACAAAAAAATAAAACGGGACAAACGAGACGGTTCGGGAAAAAATTTATAAAAACCGATACCGACAATGTTTCAACCGGTTCGATACCGATAACGGTACGAAAAGTTTAAAAACCGATTGAAACCCTTTTTTTTTTGGAACGAGATCATTTCGGTTCAGTTCTGGATCGGAAAATCCAGTTTTTTTTCCAACCCCTAATCATGCATCCCTCTCCATTAATTAATGTTAATCCCTAATCATGTGCCACGTTCACTTAACCCCTTAAAATTAAGTCCAGTTCACATGTTCAGACTGTGTGGGTTTTATTTTAATTAGCATGGCTGGATATTGTGGATCCACGTATATATGTGGGGAAATATTGCTGGCCCAATTTTTTTTTTTTTTTTGGTAATAAA